CGATGAATCGTACGCTCCCTCCGTTGAAGAAATTTTCGAAATCGCCAATGAGCCGCTCGTAACATCCGTTCGAAACCAATTGCAATCATCCGAGGGACAAGAAAAGCTACAAATGCACTATGGTCCTTTGGGGCAAAAATATCTGGGGGCGGTCCTAAGCGGTAAAAAAGTGGTCAACATAGACGACGTTTACGGAGTTTATTTTAACAATGAGGGAACTGAGCTCAGCAACAAACGTATCACCTTGGATAAAAACGATAATATAATCATTGACGGGAAAAGTTATGCCGAAACACAAGGACTTTACGAATTGATTTTCATGTGTTATCCAAATAAAGCAGTCTACAATGACGATGACCTTCGGAAATATCAGAGTATTCTATTAGCTATAAACGCGTACAGACGCGAACGCAGCACGCAGAATCAAATAATGGGTAACAAGGGTCACAAGTATAAGAATATAATCGCACCCCTGTTGCCAGAAGATGTGAAAAGCGGTAAAAAAATTGGAAAAGGTATACTGCGCACCATGACAGTGAATGATAGCAAGATTGAGTACATTCATTGGGACGATCCCAACGAGCTTGTGGATCGCATCCGATTGCTCGAGGCCTCGCGCCAAGCTGGTCACAATGCGCACGATAACGAGATGCTGTCGATTATCGAGGAACTTCGCGAAGCGTATATTATTATAAATTAGACAGCACAGTACGAATCATTTAGTCAACATCGAATTGCCGATCAACAAGTTTGGGACGTCGCTCGGTATAGGCGGAACAAGTTCGTACTACCAGTTGAGTGGACTACTCAGAAATTACTTGAACTGAATAAATTAATCGTGCTATTACTAGCATAATTATTGCTATTACTAGCATTATATTAACAGGTAGTTTTGAATTAGTACATTTTTCCAATACATCAAAAACTGCAACACTTGATGTCCTCTGTATTTCTTGTGAGATCTAAAATTTCAATTAACAATTTATAAATTACAGTATAAACAATACAAGGGAAACATATATTAAACTAAAATTATACTTTACCTTTTTAGTATCTTTTTTGTTTTTAGTAGTCTCTTCAGCGGTGCTTCTAGCAATTTTTGATGAAACACATAAAGATGATTCTGTTTTCTTTCTTTTGCGAAGAGACATTTTTTGGCTTATTTATTAATTCTGTACTTTTCTTTATTTTCTTTTCTTTTTTAGTTTTTTTTAATTCTTAAACATATCTAATTGTTTTTCCATGTAACATTTATTATCTGCAATATGTTTTTTTAAGTTATT